GCATGAGTAAGTGCGTGGCCATGCGAGAGACAGCGTGCACTCTCTGGGGGATAATTGGGGTGGAAGGCATGGGGATAATTGGGGTGGAAGGCCTGGGGATAATTGGGGTGGAAGGCCTGGGGATAATTGGGGTGGAAGGCATGGGGGATGGCCTGACACCAAATCTCTCCAGGACCCCTATACAGTGATGCCTTGCAAGACGAATGCCTCACGCAACGAAAAACTCGCAAGATGAATGCGTTTTGTGATATGTTTGGTGACTCGCAAGACAAATTTTTCTATGGACATGCTTCACAAGATGAATTTTTATCCTTTTTGTTTTTTAAAATTGCACAACCGTTTCACAAGACGAAATTTTCGCAATACGACATGATTTGCGGAATGAATGAATTTCGTCTTGCAAGGCATCACTGTACAATAATAGAACTGTAAATACTGGGATACATTTCAGTTTAAACTTTTGACTGTTTTAAATATATATTTTGTTTAAATAAACAAATGTAATTTAAGCAGCCAGCCCACCAAAGATATATGTGAAGACAAAAGAGTCAATTAAAGACTTGGCTGTTTAGGCAGGCGGAATGAATGAATTTCGTCTTGCAAGGCATCACTGTACAATAATAGAACTGTAAATACTGGGATACATTTCAGTTTAAACTTTTGACTGTTTTAAATATATATTTTGTTTAAATAAACAAATGTAATTTAAGCAGCCAGCCCACCAAAGATATATGTGAAGACAAAAGAGTCAATTAAAGACTTGGCTGTTTAGGCAGGCCTTCCCTTCCCTCAATACTTGACTTTTACTTTCTACTTAATCTTTTGTTTCATATTTTCCATCTTGATTAATACTAATATTGTTAATGTAAATCGTTGTTTTAATTGTTTTTATGAATAATTTTATTGTGAGCCGCCTTGAATAGACATATGTCTAGAAGGGCGGGATAAAAATCAAATCAAATCAAATCAAATCAAATCAAATCAAATCAATAAATAAATAAATATACATACAGTTCTCTACAATTGCCTATAATTAAAAAAGTGAATTTTATTCAAAAGAGATAATACATTACAAAAGTTTTGGAATTTATTAAATGGGGAATTAGCAGATTTTGATATTTGGTCTGCTTTATTTTAAAATCAGTAGTGCTCTAATTTTTATCCGATCTTTTACAAAGCAGATATTGTGAACTTTTTGCCTCTCGTCATTTCACTGGCTAGCTGGTGGCAGGCTCGCTTGCCTTATGGTAGCTCCAGATTTTTACCTGCTTGTGGATGATCCATCATCAACTTTAAGTGCAGCATTTGCTGCTTTCACTGTGGGCATACCCAGCATTTATATGTGAAACCCACCATCCTAATTTGTTAATTAATCACTTCTGACCCATAGAACTTATATCTTTGGGTTTGCCAGAAAAAAATAAAAAATGAGAGAGGTTTATGTTATTATTTTTTATTACATTATACAACATAAACCTACTACCACACACAAAAAAAGATACACAATAAAATACAATTACATATCACATAGTGCCACCATCACCTTCAGAGCTAGCATTAAACTTCATTCAATCCATATTCTCTCCAAAAATTCATTGTTTCTTCCCTCGGTGTATACCCCTTCCCTCTCCGAAATACATATTCAAAAGAATACACTCCATATTTTCTTAAAATCATTATTTTTGATTGGCCTCTTCTTATTTTCCTATCACATGTCAGTTTATCATTAATTGCCATATCCCATAATTCTCTGTACCATTCCTCTAAACTGAATTGATTATCGTTTCCCCATTTTCTTGCAAAAATTAATCTTGTTGCCGTAATCATTATTACTATTAAATCCTTATTTTCTTCCAACAATTGATCCTTCTTAACCAAATTCAATAAAGCAATTACCGGGGACATTTGAATATTTAATCCAGTTATTTCACCTAATTCTTTAAAGACTTGATTCCATTCTTGCTTTCTTACTTCACATGACCACCACATATGTATATACGTCCCCTTCTCTTTTTTACACCTCCAACATAGTGATGATACATTTTTATTTATTATGTTCAATTTACTGGCGTTAAATACTACCTCCATATTTCCTAATAACAGTTTTCGTTTATCCTTACAGACATGTTCTTCATATTTCTTTGATCCCATATTTTATCCCATTCTTCACCGGTAACTTCTTTGTCTATATCATATTGCCATTGCATATTTAATCATTGTGTACTGTTCAGCTTGCATTAATTATATATTTGACTTACAGTTCCTTTCTGTCTTTTCCTCTAATTTCAACCTTTTTCAACAATCTCTTCAAATTCTGTCATTTTTCTACTTTTCCCTTCCTTGCTATTCCAGTCCCTTGTCCACCTTTCTAATTGAATCAAATTAAACCATGAAATCCCCTCTCCTCCTAACCTAAAACCTCTGTTATATTTTCTTTATCTCTCATCTTGTCCATCCAGTCTTTTAACCTATTTATCCCTTTACTTTTAAATATATTCTTAAATTTTTAAAAAAGATTTTCAGGAAAATTCTTTAACTCCACCACCTGAGATAAAGGGGAGATCAGTGGACTCAGTAAGTCTCCAAAATTTTTCCAATTTTCTAACATATTTTTAAGGAAAGTGTTAATAATCTTTTTAATCTCTTCTCCATTTTTTTCTTTAAACAATATACTTTCCACTCTTTCTTCCTTACCCTCCGTTTCTATTTCTGTCCAGATTAAATTTGTATTACCTTTAATAATATCTGGGCTAAGTCTAAACTGATTTGCTATATAATATAAAATAATTTTATGTTGGATAATCCAAGACCTCCATTTTTTGCGTTATATACCATACTTTTTAAATTAATCCTCAGTTGTTTATTTCCATTACAATAACAATTTATCATTATCTGCCATTCTTTCAGTTGTTTTTCTGTAATCTTTATAGGAAGCATCCAAAATATAAAATTCAATTGAGTAATTATTTTCATTTTACATAATGCCACTCTACCAAGCCACGAAATCTTTAATATCTGATATTCTTTTATCCTTCCATTTATCTCTCTTTTCAGTCTGTCCAAATTTATTTTAATTATTTCCTGTAAATTAATATTTCCTATTTTACCTTCAAATATTATTTTCATTTTTCTTTTCTCCTCATCCGAGTGATTTAACAATAAACATTCTGACTTTCCTCAGTTTACCGTTAACCCAGTTATACTCTTAAATTCCTTCAAATGTACAGTAGTTTAGGCCTTTCTATTGTTTCTATTGGATTTTTAACCATTAATAATGTATCATCAGCAAACAAGTTTATCTTACCATTTTCTTTATTTTCTATCCCTATAATCTGTTTATCATCTCTAATTATCTCTGCCAATAATTCTGTTATCATTGTGAATAATACTGGAGATAAGGGGCAACCTTGTACTGTACCTTGGCCTAGGTATATTGCCTCAGTTATACCATCATTAACTATAACTCTGGCTCTATTATTTGAGTATAGTTGGTGAATTATCTGCCTAAAATTAGGTCCAAACCCTAAATATTTAATTAATATCTTTAACGAGACCCATTCCACTGAATCAAATGCTTTAAATATGTCTAACGATATTACTACGGCTTTAGAGTTAGTTTCTTTAGCTAAGTGCATTAAGTTAAGTATCCTTCTCATTACATCTGACATTTGTCTGCCTTGTATAAATCCATTTTGATCTTTTTCAATATATTTCCCCATAGAACTATTTAGTCTCTTTGCCATTGTTGCCGTGAATATCTTAGCATCTTGGTTTATCAGTTATATGGGTTTATATACTTCCATATTTATTGGATTTTTATCTGGTTTCAGTATTAAAATAATCAGTTACTCTTTCCATGATAGAGCGATTTCTTCTCCCGTTAGCATCTTATTAAATAACTCTTTTAACTTTGGTATGAGAATCTTTTTAAATACTTTATAATATTCTGGGCCTAATCCGTCTGTTCCGGGGATCTTTCCTGTCTTTAAATTATTTATAATATCCTCTATTTCTTTATTTGTAATAAACTGTTCCATTTTATTTTTATCATCATTTAACAGTTTCTTATTAAAATTATTTTTATATACTCTTCAATTTTCATTGTGGAAGGATTTTTGCTAGTATATAAAGTTTTATAAAATGTTTGAAATGCTTCCAATTTCTCCTTTTATGTTTATGTTATTTCTAAGGACTGACTTTATTTTGTACGAATTAATTAGAAGTATAAAAGTTTGAGTGCATGGGCTACAGAATCATTAATAGTAATAGCCTTTGCACAGCTGGAAAGGACCCTATGGATCATTGAGTACAGCTCTCTAACGTGCTCCTGTGCACCAATGTATTTTCAGGGCCCTTCTCAGTCTTTATGAGAAGAGCCCCAGCTGTCTGTTTTGGTATACTTTTGTTTTCTCAATAAAATGTGTTGTACCACATTTGGTTTGTCTGTGTCCGATCCTCTGATGGAGATTAGCTCAAATTTCCTAAAAGCCTCAAAATCAAGGCTAACAGCCCCTCTCAAAGAGGCACAGTGGGGAATTGAATTCCCAACCTCTGGCTCCATAGAGACCTATGCCACTGAGCCATCCAGCAGTTCTAGTTGCATCATTATATGGTATGCTTAAAGAAGACTTATAAATTAATGCAGCAGTAATGATTGATTCCAATGTGCCTAATCCAAGCATGACTAAGTCTCGATCTAACTGAGACAAATACTGTTACATGCGATTTCTTGCGTCTCAGGTTTTCCTGTCAATAGTGATAGGACAGATCAGCTAAACTGAATGTGAAACTTATGTGTGTATTTATACCAGTAAAGACTAATTTTAGCATTTTTCTAAATACTTTTGAATATATATAATCTTGAAGTAAACACTCTCTTTACCATGAAAATGTGTTCATAGTAAAATCAGAACCACAGATTTCAGATTTATTTATTTTTATATATTTATTCGACTTGTATGTCAGCTGCACCCTGCAAGGTGCAGCACTATGATTGGTTGTTGGTAACTTGAGCAATACTTTTTTTTCTAAAGTAGCTTATGCAAATAGTAGAAAGCTGGAGACATAAAAAGGTTTGAAAAAGGTGCATAGATCTATGGTAGTTAGTATAGACCATACAGCTGCAGAACGTCTACAACATAATCGTTGCTGTGTTTACATTCACTAATAGAGGGCTTTGCTATTTCCATAAACTCGTGCTTTACTGATTTTAAAATCAGTTTTGGAGACTTTGGATTCAGAATTATTCTTCTGTTCATGAAAGGTTTGTCTGTGAATTCTGCTAAGGCCAATGTCTCCAATCCCCTCATTCTATCTCACATCATTGCTAAAGGTTCTCGGTCTTCAGGAGCATCTTTTTAGTGGCTTTGGGGAACTGCAGACAAAAAGTGAAGGGGGCGGTCCTGATGAATTTTGTTCTATTCTTAGAAGGGAAGTTAGGATCCAAGCCAGTAATATTAACATCAGGTTTTTATTTCAAATTGATTCTCTGTGTATATGTATATAAAAATGTTAAAACAGCCTTCATCTTAAAATTTACCTGTTCTCTCAAACAAAAGGGCTATATAACTAAGCACAATTGGGATGAAGCTACAGCATAAAATGAGGTAAATTGTTTAATTCTTTTTATTTTCCCTTTAATGATGGCTTCATTCAATAAAGTTGTTCAAAGTTTGTAATCACGATCATGTTCACTTTCCTTTTCAATATGCCGTTTTAATAATGGATATTGGTTGTATAAAACAATATATCCAAACTGTTTTTATTCCAGTGGTTGAAATAAAATATTTACTGTCAGCATGCTCATTTAGTTAACTAAGTAGTTTGAATATGATCTACCATCAACTGGATTGAGGAAATTCTTTTAATAAACTCTGTTGTTCCATTTGGCACCTTCAGTTCTATAATAGATGTCAGATTTCCCTGTGTCTTCATCAATCAGAAGTCCTTCAAAGCACAATCCCTGTAAGAGAAAGAAAACTGCATTGTTTAACTGTTTTATGTAGAAACCCACTAAATAAGGCAGAATGTGTATGTCTCTTTTAGTTTAACCAGAGTGCTTTCAAATTGCTTTTGGAATATCATGCCAATAATCATGTCTACACAAGTCTGTCCTTCATTGCTCAGATTTTTGTTTGTTTAAATTATCTCACAAGCACATTTAAGAGTCTCACAGTCAAGGCCTCTTATTGCCTTCTAAGCATGAAATTTACCACTACCATATATGCATCCACAGGGATACAGATTGGTTTTTTTCCTGCAATTTGCAGAAGTCCCAAAGCACTAACCTGCTGCCTTCGAAGGGAGGGAGGCAAGGTAGTGGTAGATCTTTAAAACACACACATACAAATACTTAAATGGGGAGAAGAGGCAAAGGGGAGCCTTCCTTGACACCAGCTCTGCTGGTTTCATGCACCTCTTGATCTCACTCTCCCAGTTATTGCTCCACCATAGTGCTATGTCTATGTTTTGGGGTAGGCAAACAGGGTTCAACTAGAACCCTGAAACAAACAGTATGGAAAGCTTGCAATCACCTCTGATTTCAGAAATGATCTCCGGAGCTGGAGCACTCACCCAAGCTAATTGGTTTTATTGTTGTACTGCTCTAACAGTTCAGACATTTTTCCTAATATTCAACTCAAATCTGGCTTCATGTCACTTGAGCCCATTATTAAATGTCCTGCACTCTGGGATGGTTGAGAACAGACCCTGCCGCTGCTCTGGATTACAATATTTCAAGTATTTTAAAAGTGCTATGATATCTCTACTCAGTCTTCTTTTCTCAAGGCTATATATATCTAATTCTTTCAGTCTTTCCTCACAGGCTTGGTTTCCAGTCCCCTAATCATTCATGTTGCCATCTTTTGAACTTGATCCAGTTTGTCAGAATCTTTCTTTCTCAAGATGAGGCCTAACCAGTGCTGAAGAAAGGAAAACTAGCACCTCACAGAATCTGGAGCTATACTTCTGTTAATGTAGCCTAAAATAGCATTTGACTTTTTTTTTTTTTGGCAGTTGTATCACATGGTTGGGTCATATTCAGCTTGTGATCTAGAACAATTCCAAGATCCTTCTCACTCATAGTATTACTGAGCCAAGTATCCTCTATCTTGGAACTGTGCATTCAGGTTTTCCCCCCTAGGTGTAGAACTCTGAACTTATTCCTGTTAAATTTCATTCTGATCATTTCAGCCCAATGCTCAAGCCAACAAGATCTTTTTGAATTTTGTTCCTGTCTTCCAAAGTATTAGCTATTCCACCCAATTTTGTGTCATCTGCATATGTGATAAGTGTTCCTTGCACCCCCTCATCCAAATCATTAATAAAAACATTGAAGAGCATTGGGTCCAGGACTGAGCCTTGTGGTACCCTGCTTGTTGTCTCCTCCCAGTTTGAAAAGGAGCCATTGATAAGCACTCTCTGAGTACAAGTTTATAACTGAATGTCTACCTGACAGTTGTTCTGTCCAGCCCACACCTAGTTAGCTTGCTAATCAGAACTTCATAACTTTGTCAAAAATTTTGCTGAAGAGATAAAGTATAACATTACAGCATTTCCACCATTGTCCAGGGAGATTATCTGATCAAACAATGATAATATTAGCCTGGCAGGATTTGTTCTTGACAAATTCATATTGGCTTCTAGTTGTGCCTGCATTGTTTTGCATACCCTTAATGCTGCACCAACCAGAAATGTAAAAAACAAAAATAGGCATTTGAAACAAGATATACTATCCTAGGGTATCTTCTCTGATAACATCACACACATCCAAATGTTTGTTTCAGTCTGCTTTCTTCTCGGAGGATGATTAGCTGATGTGGGTGGGACAGATGCTATCAAAGAACTGAGAAGGAGTGGGAGGTAGTAAAACTGACTGAGTAGCTTATGCTATTTCACTCAGAATGGTGCAAATGTCTTTTCCCCATGAACTGCATAGGAGGAAAGTACTTTCTGTCCTACTGTAGAGAAGAGTCTATGCCTTTATGGTATCAGGAAGCATTAAACACTTCCTGCCGGATAGCAGGCCTGTGTTTATGTTTAACAACAATCTTGCACTAAGAAAATAATACAAGGGAGTCCTGTTTAATCAATGTGAAAGCAAAGTGCCAATAATTATTTATTTAAAATATTTCTATCCTGCTTTTCTCCTTAAAAAGGACCCAAGAGGGTTTACATAATTAAAAAGACAACATTTAAAATTAAAACAATGAGTACACAAATATTTAAAAGTTTAAGAAAGAATTAAAGAAGTATTATATTAAAAACAGTAAGTAAAATCAATCAATACTAAAACACATTTAAAACAACAATTTTAACAGAGCTCAACAGGCCATTTGAAAAACCCTCTCCGACCACCAGTCAATAAGGAAAAACCTGCCTGAAGAGAAAGAAAGGTTTTTGCCTGCTTGCGAAAGGACAACAAAGATGGGGGATGTAATTAGTGCCTGTGTCACCATGGCCAAATCAGACCTCTGAAAAAACGGGCGCAACTGGTGCACTAGTTTTAACTGTGCAAAGGCACTCCCGGTCACTGCCAAAATGTGGGCATCCAGGCTCAGGGACAAATCCAGGAGCACCCCCAAGCTGTGCACCTTTGTTTTCTGAGAAAGTGTAACATCCAGCACAGGCTGCCAATCCTAATCCTTGATCTGCTTTTTGACTGACCAGGAGCACCTCTATCTTGTCTGGATTAAGTTTCAGTTTACTGACCTTTATCCCGTCCATTACAGACACCAGACCCTGATTTAGAACCAAAATAGCTTTCTTGGACTTAGATGGAAAGGAGAGATGGGTGTCATCAGCATATCCGTGACACCCAACCTCAAAACTCTGGACAATTTCTCCCAACAGTTTCATGTAGGTGTTAAATAGCACAGAGGACAAAACAGAATTAATGTGGACATACTGAAATGATAAATAACCAGCAACTGTTATTGTCTGGGATCATGAGGGAACAAGGGCATCTCCAAGGTTTGGATGAAGCAGTCAAATGAGATAATGATATAAATTCTGTGCAAGGATTCTTGGTACACATCACCTCAAGGCAAAGTTTCATGAACATTTTGGTGATGTCACATTCAGGTTGTACCTGAAAAACATTGATGGAAAGAAGGCATACTTTTTCACCACTTAGTAACGTGATGTTCTCACCCTTCCAAAGATCTCTCAAGAGACCTATCGGGAGACCAGTGCCGGGAACGTTCAGGTGATGATGATCTTATTGTCGAGGTTAAGTGATATGAAGCTGCAAGACTCTGGCGGCGAAGTTCATGAACAGCACGCTCCCTAAAACAAACACATAACTTATTTAAAGGAGGGGATAATGGAAACTGGTGAAGATGATCACTAAGATCTATTTTCTCACAGACCAAATCACTAACGGTAAGTGGAGAGCGAATACTTTACTCATGCTCAGTTCAGAGGAAGGTGGACCAGTGAGTAATTAATCAACATTTGTGTGAATCCTCATCTAGTGGATCTATTCAATTTAAGACTAGCAACTGCTTGTAGTCCATTGTCTTTTTATCATGCTATTTCCTCAAAGTATCATCAAACTAGAGGCAGGAGACATGCATTAATGAACCATTAATGAACCAAATAAGAATATAGTATCAGTGCCTGTAGTGAGAAAGAGATTCTACACATTACCATCACTGCATCACCTATCAGCTGACTCTCTTTGGACCTAAAACTACTAGAGTTTTGTCTAGTTCTGAGCTGGCCCTGCCAAGAAAGTAACAGAACATGCAATTCTACACCATTTTCACAATCCTCAAACCTCTAAGAACAGATCTGCAATTGAAAGAATGACACAGGGGAGTCTTGTGCTGTGGGCACTGTTATTATAATTATCATTTATTTGTATACTACTACCACTGCACATGGCTCTGCATAGAAAATTAAAATCTCAAACCAGAAAGGCATCTAATCTAAAATATGATCTTTGTTCTCTTTACAGAAAGAAAGTTAGGATTCATACCAATGTTAAAGCTATTTATTTAGAAATAACTATATTTTCTTTTTTAGTGTTACAGCTAAATTAAATTCATGGAATATTTAAATCTTTTGCAAGGAATATCCATGATTTATTAATCATAATCGTGTCTTTGTTGGTCATCGTATACAGATATTGCCAGAAGGAAGACATATAAAACTTACTTGCTGAAAATATGTGACTTACAGAAATGGACTATAATCCTGTACACAATTTTATATATAGGAGCACAATGCTGTGTATGTTTACTAACAAGTAAGTCACACAGCAATATATTCATATCCTTCTAAGTATATTTTGACTTGCTGCTTTAGTTGCATCTGATGCTGGATTAGTTCTTAATGCTTTTAATGATATAGCTCTGTGTTTTTGTAAATTCACATAAGATGCAAATACACAGCAGGGAAAATACACTTGAATCCACTTGGCTTGCAACTGGTGAAATCGCTGTAGCTGTCCAGACATCAAACAATTTGCAGAAATCAGCAAAGTCAGAGGCAGAAAAGCTACCTCTGACAAGGTGCTATTTGTCAATTTCCACCTCTTCTTTAAAATAAGTTTTCCTGAAGTAACTTAGTAGTGTTCCAATGCTGCCTTGAAAGCATTCCCTGATAAAGAGAAACAATTCCAAAATGAGCTTCCCCACATTGAGCTTTATGTTGTGTGGTCACCAGGTTTTAATTTGAATTCATATGTGATTATTCCGTTGCAAACTGCGGGGTAGATGACCAATGTAGTCACCCCCTATGCATTTCACTTACAAAGTGGGGTCTTGACTTGAGAACTTAATTCGTATTGGAAGGCGATGCTCAAGTCAAAAGGTCTGTAGGTCAAGTCTCCATTGACCTACAGTGCTTTGAAAACCGATTAATCCCGTAACAGGCCGTTTTTGTTCCATTTTGGTTTTTTTCTGGTCTGTAAGTCAATTCTCAGGCTGCAAGTCAAACCTAAATTTTGCGGCCAGAGAAGTCTGTAACTCAAAAAGTCTGTAAGTCAAGCTGTCTGTAAGTCAAGGGTCCACTGTAGATTGAAGTAACAAATTTGGAAAATTAAAAAAAAATTACACACTTGCCTTTCAAAGCGTTCTGTGCCCAGCTGTCTTTTAGTGATATCTAACTCAGATTCCAGTTGCGTTATTGTATTTTTGAGGTGTGAATAATCTCGATTCTGGATGGCACTATAAAAGACAACATTAAAGACTTGAACTAAACAGGCTTAACTGTTCAAATATAATAAAAGTAGAAAGGTTTTTATCCAAATATAATGAAATATACAGCAGGCTCAGTTTATCCAGTGCAATTTCCAATAATATTTGTTACAAAAAAAGAAGTCATACAGTCAAATGCAAGCAGACTAAAAATATTTGTATGCTATTTCTAGTGTGCCAACTATAGTGTCCAAGTGTAGCTTGAACACTACAGTAACTACAAAAACGTACATGCTTACAAAAATATGATACTGTGTTACTTTCTGTATATACCAGCTACTCAAACATATGTAAACAAACACAATAATTGCTTTCCCCAGGGCAATGAGATGCATTTGTGCATGAAAGGCTAGATCTGGGGGAAAGTTTTTATAACTTCCACTCTTCTGTTATGCAAATACACTCCCAAATTTTCAGGCAACCTGATTTTCATATAATGTCACAGTTACTAAGTTATACTTCCTTCTCTTAGTTGCTCTTTTTCGTCATGTCCATGGACTCTTACATGCTTTGCAAAGAGGATAAAAATGGACGGACTACAAAAATAATTCAGAGCATTCAGACCTGGGGATCTAACATTGTTGTTCTAGTTATTTACTCACATTTTTTCTTCAGCCATAGAAAGCTGCTCTTTAAGAAGCTGAATTTCAGAATCCTTTTCTTGGTTTATAATCTGAGATTGAAATTCCTTTTCTCGGTTGGATGATAACAATGTTTCTAGATTTTTAATTGAGATTCTTTCATTAGTTAGTTGTTTTCTGAGGAGTTCTACTTCTGAGCGAGATGATTCCCATTCATTCTGAAGCTGAAAGCCAAAGGATTAAGCATTTTCATTTTCTTTAACGTGCACTATATTAGAATGAAACACTGGACACATTTATTTTTAGTTAGTACATTTATAAGCTGCCTTTCTTCCATGCCTGTATGCAAGAATGTTTGCATGGGATTCCAAGGCATCTCCTCCGAAGATACTGACCAACCCTCCTCCCCTTCTGCTTATCTTAACAAACTGGCAGTATCATGTGTCCTGGCATCAAATATACAGTAATCCAGGTATCCTCACTAGAAACCAGTATTGGCTAGTTTTTGTAAAACAAAGCTACAGAAGCCACATTGTTGTCAGTTTATTCTCAAGTCTTGCTCTTCATGTGTCTTTTTACTTACTACACTGGGAGGTCACATTAATCAAATGAATTGGGTGATGGATTGGGGCTTTTGAATTTGATTTAAAGTCACATGGCTGTTGTGTTGGTGTGAGCATCCTCTTGGGAAAACTTTTAATCTGTTTTAAGAGTTGTATACTGGTCAAGGAGGCTACATGGGCTTTTAGAATTGGTGCATTTGAGCTTTGTCATGTGCCTGCTTTCCCTTGTGCTGGCTGCCTCTCACAATCACTAGCTGCTACTGCTATGGTGATTTTCAAACTTTTTTATTTCTTGCATCTGATATAGTGCTAGAACAGATAGAAAAAAATGAAAACAGAGGGGTTTTTGCAGCCCGACACACAGCCAGGGAGACAGACAGACACACACACAAAAGAGAAGGAGAAGGGGGGGTAGCAGGGAACCATCAGCCCAGGTTGAAACTGATATTTTCATTGGATTGGGGCACTTTTAGGTTCGCAAATGAAGGAGACAAGGAGGCCCTTGTTGAATCTGACCAGAGACACACATGCACACACATACGGGGTGGAGGAAGGTGAGCTAAGAACCACTTGCCTGGGCTAAAACTCACATTTTGATAAGATTGGGACACTTCTAGGTTTGCAAAGGAAGGAGACAGACACAATTTATACTGACAGAGGGATTAATCTAGGCTAAAATGATAAAAAATTAATCAATTTGACATCCAACTTAAAATAAACAATTCTCTGGTGGAAGAGTAAAATATATTTCCAATGTAAATAACATGACTCCCTGTCAAAAAAATCCATGGTTACATGTGCATCATGTAGTCATATTTTTAAAAATTGATTTAGAACATGCTAAACCCTAGCATAACCCAATTAATTTTATTAATGTAATTCTGCCCTAAATATGGCTTTTAATCTATAGAAACCACTTTGAGCTTTAGATAGCTGAACAACAAATAATAATTTGTCTTGTTTTATCAAATAAATAATTTTGATATGTGTGTAACAAAGAAATTAATAGCAATATAAAATTATTATAAGTAGACAAATTAATGAGCCTTAAACAAATGAGACTTAAAAGTACTTTATATTTGCAAGCTCAGACTTGCTTTTTCTTGGCTTATCTTCCACTGGATTTCAACCCATGTATGTATATGTGTTTTCTCACTTATGTAGATATATTTGAGTCAGAATAGCTAATCTTCTGAAACTCAACAATGCAGATGTACAGAAAATAGAATATGTTGCTGTGGTTTGATAATTACATTTAAGTTTAAATTATGTAATTATATATATGGTTTGTTCTACCTTTAATGTTTCCCCAGCCTAAAAAAATTACCAAATTATATGATACTTACCTGTTCTTTTTCTTGAACTGTGTTGTTAAGTTGCCGGGTTAACAGCTCTTTGCTAGTGTCCAACTTTATACACAGTTCCCGAGTAGATGTCAGATCTGTTAGTACAGAAACTTTCTCCAGCTCAACTTTCTGGAGTTCCTCCTCCATTTTCATAAGAGACTTGCCTAAAGTAGAAATCTGTGATTTGTAGGTTTTTTCTGATGCTAAATGCTGCCAGGAATGGACAAAGATGAGAAATCAGTGAAGATAATTAACATTTGTACTACACATACATAATGGCTGAAATCGTGTATGATTTTATGCATGCAGAATGCAAATGTCATAATATTCAGTTGCTTCTAGCTAGCAATAAATGAGTTGCCACTGCTGTTCTTAGGGCTGCCTTTGCCCGCTGACATCTACATGCTGAGAATCCCAGCAGGGACTCATTAATTGGTGGCCAGAAGCATATGTCTGTTGCACTATTCACCTGCATGTGTAACAAAACTTCAGTCACTATTTAAAAAGTACTAATTCATATTTTTCAAAAAGATCCCTTTCAGTCTCCTAAGCCTATTCTAGTTGTCACTTTAGTGTAGCAAGTTGCAACTAAAGTAGGCCTATTTGAATCAATGGAATTTAAAGAGGACTTGATTCATTAAATCCCCACTGATTCAATAGGTCTATTCTAGTTCAACTCACTACACTGACTGGATTTCAGCTGGTTTGGCATGTTTGATGGGCCCGAGAGCCAATATATTGCCCTGAGATTCATACAGAAGCAACACAGACTATGGAAAATAACCAAAACATCAAAAATGGAAACTGAAAATGGATAGAAGTTCATTTCTAATTTTGAAAATGGCTATTAGGGACTGTTAAAAATATGAGGGGCACTGACCTATTTAAAAGGAACCTTGTGATGCAGTGGTTAACAGGACTCTGCACATGACTTGAGTTTGTCTTTTTGTTTATTATTTATTTAATTTATATACTGCCCTGTTAGTGCACAGCATTCTTCTGGACAGTGATTATAGTGGTAAAAACCAAAATCCAAAAAATGTAACAAAAAGAAAATGAAATAATACAGTTATAAAGTCATAAAATTAACAAACAAACTTAAACAAACTTTGGGCTCAGGTAGCTAGCTCAAGTTTGACTCTGCCTTTCCGCCCTTCCGAGGCCGGTAAATTGAGTATCTAGCGTGGTGGTGGTTGGGACAAATTGTAGCCAACACAATTAAAACGTAAATCACCCAGAAAGTGATATAAGTGCTATGGGACAGTATATAAGCAGCACATGTTTTGCTTTACTTTAAAAGGAAAATTCCGATTCCTACAGGCTTCCAAGAGCTGAAATTTGCCTCATTTTTCTGGGGAAAAAGACAGGGACAGAAGAAAGTGAGGACAGCCACAAGAAAAAAATTTTTTTAAGGGATTAACACAATTCCAGGAATGCCCTTTACACATCCCTCTTTTTCCTAGTCTCTTCTTAGCACTATTCCTTATGTTGTCTGGGTGACTGAGATACACCAACACATTTCTTTCTTAACAAGTTTACCATATTAGAGAAGAACATAAAAGTTATAACCTGCTATATCATATCTACCAAATGAAAATGGAACTATTTTAAAAGATTTTCAAACTTACTTGCCCAACTTCTATTTCAAGAGATTCTGTCCGTTCTTTCAGTCTACAGCACTCAGAATCTAGATTGAGAAGATCCAGACGGACAGAATTACAATCTGTTTCTATTTGGTGGAACTTTGTTTCCCATCCTTCTGCCTGTTCACTAGCCCAGTGGTATTTCTCCAAAAGACCTTGATTTTCCTTCTCCTGAAATGCAAATTGTAGGTTTATTTTTTGCAACTAACACATTAACCACCTGAAAATACCATATATCCATCAGGGCAGCAGAATAGCAAGCATGTCTCAAAACTATAGAGGACCCATGATATAAAGCATATGTACTTCCATTGTGCTTAATTATCTGATTGTCTGAATTGGAAATTATCTGAATTGGAAAAAACAACCCTCACACTACTGCTGTATTGTACAAATATAGGTGATAGAAAAAGTGTGAGCTGGCCTTTGTTAACTATTTAGTTCATCCTAACAGTATAGCAAGTACAGTGGTGCCTCGCACAACGATTGCTTCATACAACGATGAATTCACACAGCGATAGGTTTCTTTGAGGAATTTCCCCTATCGTTTAACGATGTTCTCTATGGGGGAATTTCACTTAACGATGTCCCTTTTTCGCTCCTGTAAAAGTGTCTTAAACTGTTAGAAACCTGTTTTAAATGCTTGCAATCGTTAGCCCACCTCCTGAACCCTATGCAAACTTAATTTGGTGTTGTTCTGAGTCGTTGTTAATTTTTGGTGATTTTTTGTTTTTCCCTCATTGAACTCTATTGAACTGTCCATCCAATGCATTTAAAACAGGCTTCAAACAATTTAAGACACTTTTACAGGAGCGAAAAGGGAGATCGGAAAGGGCTCTTTGATCTCCGTTTCCCTTTTAAAGCTCTTTCCGATCTCCGTTTTCGCTCCTGAAAAAAAATCACTAAAAATTAACAATGACTCAGAACAACACAAAATTAAGTGTGCATAGGTTTCAAGAGGTGGGCTAATGACTGCAAGCATTAATCTGTTCCAATTGGAACGGATTAACCGGTTTTCAATGCATTCCTATGGGAAATGGTGTTTCACTTAACGATGTTTTCACATAACGATTTTTTTATGGAACCAATTAACATCCCTTAATGTGAAAACTGCACATCTCTCGTTTAGTATGTCATCTGAATGCATATGCAACTTCTTCCCTGGTATGCTTCTCTACCAAGATTCCTTTGGTAGTCTGTGATTTGTTGAAAAAGAAACAAATCAGGAGAAGACACTAAACAAACCAAAGAATAAAGCTTGATTGCACCCTGTGGGGGTACCATTCCCAAGGTTGCTAAGCCACATGGGTGTTCTAGTGAGGGAAAACTCTCCTAGCATCCTGTGGCGGCTTCTGAGGGGCGGAGCTGCCACCATTCCTCCTCTTTCTCATTATCCTAGAGAGCTTGCTATAGAGGCCTTCCCTAAGGCCAATCAGAGGGCTTGATTAATTGCCTTTCTCCAGACCAACCCTAATAACATGATGTAACCATTGTCCTATCTGAACTCTGTCTACTACCTGTAATGCTGTAACTACCTGTGACCTTGTAGTGTTAATAAAAGAGTAGTCTCCTGGGGGCAGGGCAAGAGAGACGGACAGGAGAGAGACCAAAGGCAGAACGTCACAGACGGAGAAGACTTCTCATTCTGCTTCCTTGCTGATTCGCCCAGCAGGAGGACTGCTGGCAGACATCCATCTGTGTGTGTCTGGCTGACTTCTTTAACCTATTGCTAAGAGACTCTTTGCTATCCATTATCTGGTGATCACCACAAAGCCCATCAGCCTGCTCACTGCCTGAACCCAACAGCACCCACTGTAAGGAGGACCATCATGTACTAGCATATTGTTTATACTGCTAAGTCATGCCTTCTGGCTTATCTTGTATCTAAATTTAACCTATTTGTAACTAGACAGTTTTTATACTGTGAGAGTTATAGTGGTATAACGGACAGCTTCCTTCAGTCAGGAACACTGTTGGTTCCTTAAAGGGACACTATGGATCACAACTTTTCATCACCCCGTTCAAACATCCCCTACTACTGTATTAAACTAATACAGTCAGTGGAAGCAAGGGCTTAAAATGGCATGTATACTACTGACCAGAGGCCTTCACGCACAACAGCGTGCTATTCTGGCAAAGGTAACTGCTTGAAGTGAGAGGGGGACACTTGCAAAGAATAATGGCTCTGCAGAAAGCAGTTACGTAATGTCTCCAACAGCTGTAAATTCCACTCTCCAAATGCCATTTCCCAACAGCATCTCTAACGTTGGCCTCATGGTTTCAGTACAAAGGAAACTTATGCCCTAATAAGTCACTTATTGTGAAATTATAGTGCTTTGTGAGAGTCAAAGCTCTGAAGCATCTACCATTAAAAAGGAGAGACACCTGGAGTTTCTCTATTGCTGGAAGAAGACGTTATTGTGCCTATTTATAAGCTGTAGCTTTTCAAAGTATACATTTACTTTAGAGTTCAGCATGGTCTTCAGTGTAATAATATCTGTATGGAAATCTTCAGTTTTCAACTTCATATCATTAAGTTCATTTTGACATTTGTTGAGTTTTTGATGCAGAATCTGTAAAATAAAGAATCATCATTTTATTGACACATTTCCTAATCCATTCACATCTGGCTACATATTAGATGTATGACCACATCTCTAAACATTTTAAGATTAATATTGATTCTTATATATTAGATTTATAATGCTGATTCTTGATAAGGGAGAAAGACTTAAGAAGTGTTTACATCTTTAACATTCAGATACTTCGGTCTTCAAACTTCTCAATTACATTCTTTCAAGCACATAAACCTGGGCAAATGCTTTACATCTTATGTATCAAGGTTATTTCCCAAACAATTTCTGATTATTTATTTATTTATTTATTTCCACATAAACCTGAGCAAATGCTTTACATCTTATATATCGAGGTTATTTCCCAAACAATTTCTGATTATCCATGAGAAAGTAAATATGCTTCTAGAATAAAGATGATCATGAACCTTGGTTTGGAGATTTGTGCCAGTTAGGTTCATACGAACAGCACTGCAGGTGCTGTGTGTTCCTTTCCCCTGCCTCCCTGGCCAATGACCCACTTCACCAGTCAGAGCGCGCTCCTCTCCTCCTCTTCTGCTGTTCGGCCAGTCTCTGGCAGGAGCATGGGACGTCCTGTCCTGCCTCCTTGTCTGAGTGGATGATCAGTCAAGGAAGTAGGGCAGGAAAGCCCCGGCTCCTGCTGGAGTTAAAGAAAAGGATAGGAAATAGCTTTATGGAAATTTATTTCCCTCAGAAGAAATGGAGGTGATGATCATGGAATCATAGAAAAGTGAAGTTGGAAGGGGCCTACAAGACCATCAAGTCCAACCCCTTGCTCAATACAGGAATACAATCAAAGTATATCTGCCAGGGGATTATCTATGGTTTTCTTGAATGCCTCCAGTGTTGGAGCGCTCACCAACTCCCGACAGTGATAACTGGTTCCACTGTTGTAGTGCTCTAACAGTTAGGAAGTTTTTCCGGGTAGTCAACTGAAATCTGGCTTCCTTTAACTTGAGCCTATTGTTGCGTGTTTTGCACTCAGGGATGATCGAGAACATATCTTGACCCTCCTCTGCATGACTGCCTTTAAAATATTTGAAAAGTGCTATCATATCATCATAACCATGATAAGATGGATAATGATGATTTTGTCAGAAGCTTCATATAATAACCATTAATATATTTGAGGTATATATATCTGACATATTGCTGATATTCATTTAACAATTCTATAATATATACCTGGTTTTCCTGCTTAAAGCTATGAAGTTGATTCTGTAACCTCTCATTCTCCTGAATTAAAGCCTCCTTATTCCTTTGCATGTGAGTAAGTTCATTGTTACTATCATCTAGCAACTGATGCAGTCTGCTTACATCCAGCTCACATCTTCGAAGAGCTTCAGTGGAATGTCTATGCAGCATTTTTTTTTAAAAAACACACAATATAAAATTTATATAAAAATATTAACCTAGAACAAAAGCATTATCACAAAATATCCCCATGCTTTTAATCTGGACAGACACATAGAAGTAGGCCAACAATTATCCATGAACCATAAATCTAACATTTATTAAACACTACCATCACCAAGAAGAGCCTAAAGAATTTTCAAACCTATTAACTAAAATTGACTTCTCCCCATAGTTTTCAAAACTATACAATGAAATTAGGAATTTAAAAAGAAAAATCAAAGACTCTAATAAAGAGATATATTACCTAGCAGGACTGAGGGCCATTTTTCACATTTACCAGCAGCCTGAAGGACAAAATAAAAAGGGAGGGGGCCTAAAAAAGCTTAACTTGCATATATATTTTTAAAATTATAATGATTTTGTAAAAGCTTTTTCTTAAATGAAAAGTGGACCAAGCAAACAAACCCCGGAAAAGGTTGATGTGCACCATCTAGAAGCCAACCATTTTAAAAAATAGAACAATTTGAGCTAGGGGGGCCCTTGGAAATCCTAAGGAGCTTCGAAATTTGGCAAAATCCCCCCCTTTCATAAAGTTTGTGTAACTTGCTGCAGCTTCTTGACAAGGTGTCAGCATTCCTCCTGGGGGAGCAATCAGGCATGTACCACATGACTGAAACACTACCCTGAGACCTTGTTAATTACCCACAATTAGCTGCAGAGAATTATACAAACTTTCCACAAACATGCAGTATTCTGGTGTATATATGCTAACTCTAATGGAACAATCAGTTGGATTAATTAAAAAGTCATTTTTAAAAAGAAACAAAATTCAGAATCTTAATCTTACCTTGATGAATGTTCTGCATCAGAAAGCATGGACTTCAAATCTGAAATGGTCTTTTCCTAGAAATAAAATGAAATAAAATTCTGTAATTAGAAGATAAGTAAAGCATATTCATAGCTTCTTTTTTCCAGGTTTCCCCCTTATCCATAATATTTCATGATATTAAGGTTCAATCCTGATCAGATTTTGCTAGGAGCAAGCATTATGGAATATTGTGCAACTTCCTTTTGAGTAAACAGACATAGAATTGGACTGCACAGGTTTACCATTAGACTTAATAGTAGCTTCCTAAAGATATTTCAGATGAGATAAATGATACAAGAGAAAAAAGGTAACCCTATACTTTCATAGTGATGTCCAATCTGATCAGAACTAGAATCCCATGATGATGTGTAGAAATGGAAAAAATAATCATTGAGTCAGCTTTGCCCCTCACACCCAACAGAACTATGTTGACCCCTAATGCGGCCTTAATCCAAATCAAGGTTCCCTCAAGTGCATTTGTGTTAGTGGGTGACTCTACAGCAGTTAGAGAGAAAAGGCTCTGAGAGCTTTGTTTGAGTGTCATATGTTTGATCTTGACACAACCAGAAAGCACAATAGTTCGAAATACTACCACCCACCTATAAGAGAAATAAAAACCTTTTGCATCCTTGTTAGCCACCCAAATGTTGGGTGCAAAAGTATGCAGCAACTTGAGGTCTGACTTAATTCAGTATGATTTGTTCACTTTCTTAGAACCTCAACATATATTGAACACTAAAACTATGTTCAGTGGAATTTACTTCTGAGCAAACATGATTAGGATCATGCAGTTATGCCCTGATGGATATATGGCTGGGGCCCAGTCTGGTGTGGGTGGCGTCTCCCTCCCTCCTGGAGCTCGCATCAAACCTTAGTGAGGTGCGGGGAAGTGTGGGGGAGGAAAAGAGGTTACATATAGAGTGGAAAGTTAGGGATAGGGGATTAGATAGGGAACAATGTGAATTTGTGTTTTTTGGGTGTTTTTGTTTTGTGGGATGCACAACAGGACCAAAAAAAAGATGGGATATAGAAAGGATATGGGGAAAAACATAAGGGTGGTTACTTTAAATGTGAAAGGCATAGGGTCTGTAACAAAGAGGAAGAGAATAAAAACATTATTGAAGAAGAATGTGGATATTATTTTTCTACAAGAGACTCATCAATCAAAGGATGGAGTTAATGAACTGAAATTACAAAATATATACATTTATGAAAAAAGATTTGGGACTTCCAAATTCAAAGGTGTAGCGATACTGATTTCTAAACATTGTGAATGTGTGGTAAAAGAAGTAGTAAAAGATAGTAATGGTAGATATTTGATAGTCTAATGGGGGAAGAAGATTATACGTTAGTAAATGGTTATGCACCGAATATGAATCAAGGAGAATTCTATAAAACTGTTGGAGATGTGAGAAGGAAATTGGTACATACTTTCATATGTGGTGGGAATGCAAAAAAGTACAAAGATTCTGGAAACTAATGTTTAAAGAACTAAATGACATGTGTGAAAAAGATATAGAATTTAATCCTGAGATAGCTCTATTATCAATATTTGAGAATGTGGAATATGATAAGATCACTAAAGAATTGATTACCAATTTATTAACACCAGCTAGATTAATAATAGCTAGGAATTGGAAATCAAAGTCTGAATTTCAAATGGAAGAATGGTATAATGAAATATGGAACATTGCTATAAATGAGAAGTTAACTTGTAACCTAAAGGTTAAGAAAGGAGAGATGAAAAAGAATAATTTCTATGACATATAGAGCAGATTTCTTGAATATGTGCTAACAAGCGGAAAAGGGAAAGCTCCAAATCAAAAATCAATGCAGTTCTGGAGAACAGGACAATAAAGGAAGAAGAAGAAGAAAGATAGAGGAAGAAGAGGATTATTGCAAGAGGTCCCGACTATGGTGGTAGGGAACACAGTCAATTTGTATTTTGGTTTATTTATTTTATGTTTATGTTGTAGTTAAAATAAAAAAAATAAAAAAAGGATCATCCAGTTATCCATTATGTTGGACTTTCTGAAATACAGAAAGACTATTCTATAGGTGGGGACTGCATTTAACCTTTTGAAGCCCACCAGCAGCTTCACTGCCCCATTATTATTGACAAGCCACCTGCTATCACTGCCATGTTTCTGATAAGAAACATGCTGTGCAGGGATTATTTATCTTGATCCTTACAGGGAGCACATTCCCAGCAACCTGAATGCAACAGTTTCAGTGGAAACACAGTTTCTGCAGTGGTAGCTTCCCAATAAAGGAAGCAAAAATAGCTGGTGGGTTAGTTCCTCTCCATTACGAAAACTAATTATATCTCAATTTTCTGATTAACAAAATATGTCTCGGTAACTTACTGCTACCCTTTTTAACATTTGAAATGCTGGAGCATAATTTAGAACAGCATTTGCACCAGATTCAGATATTTTGCCAACTTATTGTTTTAATGTATGTAAGCATATCAAAGTCTATCCTAAATCGAACCAAAAGTTACAAAAATCCTAACCCAGCACATGCAGCCTATTAGAATCTGTAAATGGGCTTTCTGTATCACAGCATTAGTAGAAGAAACTAAAATCAAACAGATTCAAAGGTCAGAAATGTGCATATTCTTCTAGCTTATCTCTTAAGGGAGATTTACATTCTCAATTGCCATCTATATCCCAACAGTTATGTGAAAGAGATGTAAATTTCTAAATAATTGACGATATATGATGGATGTGTTATTAAATAAAGTAGGAACTGTAGCTTTCACTGACATGTCTATATGGTATACTGTCAAAAGCTACATGCTTACTATTTAAGAATTAATATTAATTAGTTAATATTAAGAATGAAAAGCATAAATTGTACATCAGAAATCACAATACACAGAAACCTGTTTCAAATCACTTCAGTCTGCCAGGACACTCTTCACAAGATATGGAAGTTGCTATTCTGGACAGGAAATATTATAGAATAATCCTGAGGGAAAGAACTGACATAATAAATATGTTTATATTCTTCCCAACTTACCAGATCTATCTTTTCAGAACAAGGCTCAAATGTAAAAATCTGTCATTCTCTAAATTACCACATGTTGTTCCTCTTTTGTTTCTTTTCATCACTGCTGCTATTTACAGAACCAGGCTTCAAAATGACTGAATACCAAATAGGGGTCTTAAATCATTACTAGGTGTGAAATGCACCACTGTTCTCTTATCTCAGAGCCTTTCATAAATATTTTGCCATGTGATCTCTGCATTCTAACTCTGACAAAGCAGACATATTCTATGACATCTTATGTTAAAATGTAGCAGTTAAATGTTAAGGAGTGCTCTTTTTTTGCTTTTGTTTTGTTTTTTGTTTCTTGTTGAAATGCTTGTACAGACTAATAAGACTACGATTTCAAAATCTACTTATGTAATTCATTTTTAAAAAAAAGCTATGAATCTAGTTATATAAGCATTCAGTTGCTAACCTACTTTTATGACCAAGCTTTCTTCAAGGTTGACTGTTTTCTCTGTTTTTTCTTCCAGCAGATCTTGTAAGGACTCCTTTTCTGACTCCAATTCAGCTATTGTTTCACTGAGTGCACAAATATCTTCTCTTTGGGTAAGATTTTGTTTTGAAAGATTTTCTGGAAATACCATCACAGAGTCTTATTTTATTAATCGACTTAAAATCATCACCCAACATACTATGATCAAGCAAAATCTCTAAAATGTATTCAAACAGATTTAAATATGCAATGAAGATTTTCATCCAGAAGGTCTAGAAGATAACCTCTGGCCAAACTGCAAACTGTTTTTAATTATGACTTTGTGCAGCTGCCTTCAGAAGCAACAACTAGTTAGCTGGTATTTCAAACTGCTACAATTAAGCTTTTGATAGGGGAGAGTGGCCTTGGCTACCAGATGGGAGGTATATAAATCAAATCAAATCAATCAATCAATCAATAACCGTCTCATTACTTAAAAATCAAAACTCCATTGTTAATTGATCTTCACTGGTTCTTGAATGTTTCTGAGCTTGATTCATAGGTTTGGATGGCATTTTTAAAGTTTTGAACACTTTACAGTGAGCATTTCTAAGGGACTACCGGCTTACATATAATTCTATTTGCCCATTAAGATTTTTTGGATGTCATCACCTGAGGTGTCACTGGTGGGAAAACAGGGCATAGTCTTCTTGGTGGTTCAGCTTAGTCCTTGGAACTCTTATTCTTTAAAAGGTGTCTGTGCTCCCGCAAACCTTTAGAAAGGCCACCAATACTGTTTCCTTTTAATTAACTTTTGATATTGTTTAATGCCAGAACACTGTCCATAAAACTGTTGTTTTAATACTGGCTTTCTAGTTTAAATTTTTGCTCTGGACTGGAATTGCAGTTTACCCATCTGCCAGGGGCTAAAAACTGCTGCAATGTGTGCAGGTTTTGGACATGTTTTAGGTCTGGGTATATATGTTCTTATAATGTCCTCAAAACTGCTATCAAATTGGGAAATATAGATTTTCTAAATAAGTAAGTAAATAAACATCACATGTGAGTCCTCAGATCATTTAAAGATTGTTTCTGTGTATTCGCGAAGGCTCCCACGGCCAGGAACTAATGGTTGTTGTGAGTTTTTCTGGCTCCTTTTGGGCTACTCCTGTCCTCTGAAGATGCCGGCCACAGAGACTGGCAAAATGTTAGGAAGAATAACCTTCAGAACAAGATCCCAAAAAACCCACAACAACCATTGTTTCTGTGTGTTTGCAATTGTATTGTTTCTGTGTGTTTGGAACTATATATGGGTCACATCCCAAAGTTTGTTTGCAGCTGCCCTCTGGATGAAACTACCTGGGAAACTGGACTATATTACCCACCAATTAAAAGACTATAAGGTACTGCCATAAACCTTCCACATATACCCAATGTGACATAACTTTTTTTCCTATTTAAATTTCAAATTGCTTTGTTGGCCAGTCAGAGCAAAAATGTGGGCAAGAAATAAATAACAAAAAGTATGGTACTCTTTGAATTTTATTTATACTGTAAAATGTATGGAAAACAATTCAAATGTATTCCAAAAACAGGTGTGGCTCTATCATGTTCCAAATGAAGATTAAAAAACAGTAGAGAGAGAAATGCTTAGTAAATATTTTATTAATGTTACATATTTTAATTAAAACTTTGATTTTTAAACCCAAAGATTGGCATTTATAGCTTACCAATTTTTTCATCCAGGCACATAATTTTTTCTTGAACAAGTTGTAATTCATATTTCTTTTTTGAAAGGTGTCGCTGGGACTCTGCAAGGCTATGCTCTGTTTTTTCATTCAACTTGCTGAATATAAATAAATAAGAAAAAATTAAATGCATTTTTGCACATGAATGTTGCAGTAGTCCTAAAATGGGTGCAGTGATGGATGGAAAGTAGCATGTTGTTGGTAATTACAATTTTACAAGGACTCTTATAAGCATGTAATCAACAGTTAAGAAAACAAATCACAAATACTTTTAAAGAGAGATTTAAGATGGATTACCACAGTGTAATCAGCAGTCACAAACTTAAAGCTGGTGTGTGGGATGAGCATACACAATGAACAACTAAAAAACAAGTGTTAACAAAAAGTACATCATGCAGCATTATACTTTTGACTGGATTATTCAGGATTTTCAACAATAAATTTGGAGATATAAGTACAGGACTCAGTTAAAGATAATGACCAAAAAGAATGATGAATATATGTCTAGATCTCCTAATCAATATTTCTTGCATATTTTATTTACCTCAGTGAAGCATTACATGCTTTTTGCCTGTTTAGCTCACTCTCAGAGTCCACTGCCCTTCTTGCCAATATTTTCATCTCTCTTTCTATAGACTCAATGGTCTCTTTCATCAATGACATCTTTGATATTTGTTCCAATCGTTCATTATCAAGCTAAGGCATTAGAGTGATAAAGAATAATTAAGAATCATGGAAAATGTAATATATCACCTATTCACTTCAAGATATTGTTCCACTTTTCCAGTTTTTTTAAATGCTCTAATACGTATTTCATTTGCCTTTATTCTTCAGACACACATCTGATTTTGATAGGATTTTTTTTGTTCCCCCCCCCCCCCCCGCTTTGGTTTGTGTNNNTGGAAATTCTTGGGGTGTGTGTGTCTCCTATTGGTCTGTTATGGTCAGGCTCATTTTGGGATTGTTTGGACTTTTGGCACTAATAAACTATGAATATCTATCAATATATTTCAAAATACTTTTTTCCTCTTACACTCTGAACATTTAATTCCAGCTCTTCGATTCTCTGTTCCAGGTGAGCTTTCTCATTAAATGCAGTATCCTGAGCGATCTACAATAAATAAATAAATAAACACATAAATAACATAAATCAAATACATTCATTTTCAATAGCATATCATTTAATTTACAGGAGACTAGATACATCCTTTGCTCTACATATGCTGCACAAATTAGTTTGAATGAAAAGGCAAACCTTTAATCTCTCTCTTAAGCTATCACGTTCTGTTGCCATCCTTCGGAAATCAGTAATAGCAGCATCCCTTTCAGTCTCCACTCGTCTTAAGACAGCCTGAGCAGTCAGCACAGTTTTAGAAGCTTTAGGGATTCTGATAGCTTCGTTTCGCAATCGACTTATTTCTTCCTGAGCCTGTTATTTAAAATTAATATTTAAGGATGGATGTTTTTCTTCATGTGAGAAGTTCTAGTACTTGTTAATAGTTACAGCTAAGAGCAAATCACAACTTGGAATAGCAACTTTTAAAAGCAGCTCAGTAGCATTAATTACTGTACATGATTAGAAAACTATTTTTGTTACTCATTAATAACAAGCCACTGTACTTTTTAATTTTTAATACACTTTAAAAATACAAGCACTTTCAAAATCCTCTAAAATGATATTAAGCACCAACAATTAGAAAGAATTGCACCAAAAATGTAATGTTACTAGCAGTCAATGCATTACTTTTATGTAAAAAGCAGGCATATTGATAGCATCATTAGCCAAAAAGAATGCATTACAGATACCATAATCACTTGTAACATGTCACTTCCGAGTTCCAAAGGCAAGCAACTTTCAGTAAAGCCTCCTGAAATGATTTTAGGGGAAATAGTTTCAAACTAATATAATATTTTACCATTTAATCAGAAATTGTTCTTATGAAAATGTTCCATACATCTATAAAAGTTACCTGATCATAAAGACAGATAATTTTGTCTCTTTCTGCTGTAAGAACCTTGATGTTGCCCTGCATTTCTGCTAAATGACGTTCATTTTTTTCTAATATTGCTTTATATTCTTCCCGTTCTCTCAAGATCTGCAGAAATTCTGGATCGGAATTACTTCTCTAAACATTTAATGAGGAAAAATAGAATTCATTTTCCAGTCCTTTGTATTTATATAAGTTTTTTATCACAAAAAATTCAGAAACACAGCAGTTCAGTTAGATCAGTTTTCAGTTCAATTAGATCAGTTTTGTTTCATTAGTGATAAAGACAAAAACCCCAACCCCAAAAGCATTGCCATATCTTTCTGACCAATTTACCTCAGCTTAGGTTTTTATGGATACAATCTACTTCTTCAGACATACTTTTGATGTTTGAAGAACTTTTCTGAAGAATTGGATTGTAATCCACCAAAGATCACATTGAAATAAATGAAAGTACTGTACAGTATTAAATCCAGATTATTTCTGGGTCATATTGCTACTGATGATGACTTTTGATTACAGTATACTATTTTACATTCTTAACAAAGGCTATAAGTGCAGTTTACATGATTCCAAACACTAAACTACAGTAGAACTGTGGTATCGGTGGGAGCCAGGTTCCAAGCTCCACCCCTGAATGAAACCTATTGAAAAGACATAACATGGTCTCTGGCACCCTCTAGTGGCCAGTTCTGGTAATTATATTGTGGAAGTACATATTTCTGGGTATTTCCATTTAATATTTTTAATATTTTCAGACTATGAATACTGATACCATGGATACCGGGATCCTACTGTATTCTGGAATGTCTTCTTGATGAGACATTGTTTATAATATGATCTACTCAGTCAAAATGTCTACATAAGTATTTAAATAGTGAGATATCTTAATACTGTGTGACTAAGACACATTTCATAATGATGGAAATGATGAAATGTCTTCTAATCCAGCTTCTTCTCAATAAAAGAATCATCACTAACCTTGCTATCTCAATAGTATGCCATAAACAGACTGTTTTTATACTAGAAAACAGCACCTACATTCGTTGTTGTTGTTTAGTCATTAAGTTATGTCCGACTCTTTGTGACCCCATGGGCCAGAGCATGCCAGGCCCTCCTGTCTTCCACTGCCTCCCGGAGTTGGGTCAAATTCATGTTGGTTGCCTCGGTGACACTGTCCAACCATCTCATCCTCTGTCGTCCACTTCTTCTCTTGCCTTCACACTTTCCCAACATTAGGGTCTTTTCCAGGGAGTCTTCTCTTCTCATGAGATGGCCAAAGTATTGGAGCCTCAGCTTCAGGATCTGTCCTTCCAGTGAGCACTCAGGGTTGATTTCCTTCAGAACGGATAGGTTTGTTTTCTTTGCAGTCCAGGGGACTTTTAAGAGTCTCCTCCAGCACCACAGTTCAAAAGCATCAATTCTTCGGCGGTCAGCCTTCTTTATAGTCCAGCTCTCACTTCCATACATTACTACTGGAAAAACCATAGCTTTGACTATGCGGACCTTTGTTGGCAAGGTGATGTCTCTGCTTTTTAATATGCTGTCTAGGTTTCTCATTGCTTTCCTCTCAAAAAGCAGGTGTCTTTTAATTTTGTGGCTGCTGTCACCATCTGAAGTGATCATGGATCCCAGACAAGTAAAATCTGTTGCTGCCTCCATATCTTCCCCTTCTATTTGCCAGGAGGTGATGGGACCAGTAGCCACGATCTTAGTTTTTTTGATGTTGAGCTTCAGACCATTTTTGGCGCTCTCCTCTTTCACCCTCATTAAGAGGTTCTTTAATTCCTCCTCACTTTCTGCCATCAGAGTGGTATCATCTGCATATCAGAGGTTGTTGATATTTCTTCCGGCATTTTAATTCCGGTTTGGGATTCATCCAGTCCAGCCTTTTGCATGATGTATTCTGCATATAAGTTAAATAAGCATAGGGACAATATAGTACAGCCTTTGCTTTGTCGTACTCCTTTCCCAATTTGAACCAATCAGTTGTTTCATATCCAGTTCTAGCTGTTGCTTCCTGTCCCACATATAGAGTTCTCAGGAGATAGATAAGGTGGTGAGGCACTCCCATTTCTTTAAGAAATTGCCATAGTTAATTGTGGTCCACACAGTCAAAGGCTTTTGCATAGTCAATGAAGCAGAAGTAGATGTTTTTCTGGAACTCTCTGGCTTTCTCCATAATCCAGTGCATGTTAGCAATTTCGTCTCTAGTTCCTCTGCCCCTTCAAAATCCAGCTTGTACTTCTGGGAGTTCTTCGTCCACATATTGCTGAAGCCTACCTTGGAGGATTTGGAACATAAACTTGCTAGTGTGTGAAATGAGTGCAACTGTATGGTATTGGAGCATTCTTTGGCACTGCCCTTCTTTCGGATTGGGATATAAACTGATCTTTTCCAATCCTCTGGCCGCAGCTGAGTTTTCCAAACTTGCTGGCATATTGAGTGTAGCACTTTAACAGTGTCATATTTTAAGATTTTAAATAGTTCAATTGGAATGCCATCACCTCCATTGGCTTGTTGTTAGCCATGCGTTCTAAGGCCCACTTGACTTCGCTCTTCAGGATGTCTGGCTCAAGGTCAGCAACCACACTATCTGGGTTGTCCAGGTCATCCAGATCTTTCTAGTATAATTCCTCTGTGTATTCTTGTCACCTCTTCTTGATGTCTTTTGCTTCTGTAAGGTCCCTACCATTTTTGTCCTTTATCATGTCCATCTTTGCA